ATGATTTCGAAGAATGTTCACAGTTGTGTCCAAAAGTTTAAGCAGATGTTTGAAAAAAAAGAACATGAACTATGAACAAGAAAAAAAATAAAAAACGAAATGTAAGAATAAAGTAAAGAACTAAAACGAATAAATCTGAAAAAATGAAACGAAAAAACATAGAAAAGAAAAGAAAAATGCCTGGGGAACCTTCCAAATCTGGGAAAAGGTTAGTTGGGCTGGCCTATAATTGTATGCTTAATGAATGGGTGTGCGCGCGATAGTTAAACAGTGAGTGGCGCGCCAAATAGGATCCCTACCATACATAGTCTTTTTTTTTTGAACATCCTACGATACATAGTCGCTCCCGTGGAAGGGCGCATTTCCTAGGAATCTCCTATTTGCCGAGCCAAAACGTACACGAGTCTCCTATTTGTCGCTCCCCTGAAAGGGCCCACTTGTCGTACATGCCAGGGTACCCGGTTTTGCTTGTACCCTTTTTTTATTGTTTCCTTTTTTATTTTTTGTTCTCTTTTCTCATTTTTCATAATTTCAGAAAACATTTAAGAATTTTAAATTATTAAAATTTTAAAATGGTTTGGATTTCATTTTTCTACATTCCGTCATTCAAAATTTGTTTCTTTCTTTTAAAAATGGTTCTGGGTTTCAAATTTGGTTCACAATTCTTAAATTAATGTCTGCAAATTAAAAAAAATATTTGGAATTTCAAATTTTAGTTCACACTTTAAAAATGTGTTCCTATTTCCAAAAATATATTCAATTTTAACAAATTGCTCATGTTTGCAAAAACAACATATTCAAAATTCTCAAACAGGGTTCATACTTTAAAAGCTTCAGTGATTTAAAAATGTATAAAATTTCAAAAAAAATCACATTAAAAAATATTTTAAAAAAATATTCAGCATTTCAAAACTGTTCACAATTTTCAAAATGTTTTAAAATCTTGATGCTGTAGTGTGTTCTTAAATATTTTGCGCTTCATATACATTGCCAACAGCCTTCAGTTATACTGGCTACGAGCGGGCGTTTAGGAGTATGAGGTCGCGAGTTCGATTCCTCGCCTGCACACTGCATTTTAGGACTTTTAGGTTGCGCGCTAAAAAAAACAACTCGCTCGTGCCTCAGTGGGCCGGCCCAGTCGCGTTAACTCTTCTGTGCTGCGCACCTACATTTCACAAAATACAAACAATTTTGTTAATTTTGAAAACTGATTCAACCCCATTTCCTATTCTTTGGTCGCCGCAGCAAATTGCCCCAGCTTCGCACAAGTGTGCAAGCGACTGAAGCTAAGATGGGCCACTGCATTTTGACGTGTTACACAAGCGCGCCACCCAGTTTAGGAAACCTTCTCGAATGTTCCTGAACGGTTTTGGAACAGCGCGCAACCTAAAAGTCCTAAAATGGGCCACTGCATTTTGACGTGTTACACAAGCGCGCCACCCAGTTTAGGAAACCTTCTCGAATGTTCCTGAATGGTTTTGGAACCATCCAGAATGTTCCTGGATTGGAGTTTTTAGCAGGTTTTATGATTTTTTTTGTTTTTTCAGTTTATTTTTTGTCTCTTCTCATCTTCTATTTATGTTTCCGTTTCTTCCAAAATTAATAATTTCAAAAGGTATTCAGAGTTTCCATAATTTGCATAAAGTAGCACTTGGTCATGGGTCAGCCCATTAGCTCTCATCTGGTTTCAGTTTTGGTAGGAATCAGGAAGCTTTTGGGCAAAAAAATTTGGTTTTTGTATTTTTTCTTGCTTTACTTTTAGTCTTTTTCTTGGTTTTAAATTTATAAAGAATGTCAAATTTATGAGCATTTCTTTAGTTTGTGATTTGTTTAATAAGTGGTGGGTTTTTTAAGTTCATGATATTTCTCAAATTCATAAACTTCTTCTAAAACTAGTTAACTTTTTAAAATCCACCAATTTCTTAAAACTTGTGAAGAGTTTTGAATGTGATTACCTTTTCATAGATGCACTGAATAAACAAATAAATTCATTATTTTTTTAAAGTCACTGGCATGGGCCGGCCACGAGCGCGCTCGCTCACTCCGGAAAACAAAAACAGTCGCTACTGCTGAGTTCGGTCGGTC